ATGTTAAACGAGTGCTATGTAAAGAAAACAGAACTTCTAAAATTTATGAATTGTGCGAGATAAATTGGAAATTCTGTTTAATATTGTCACTTATACTAAACCTGTCTTCATCGCAGAGGATCATTAAGTGTATACTATGGTCACCGCATCACCAATATGACATAACACTAACTTTTGCGACATGATGCGCTGAGGTTGCCGAAGGTATATCTAAATCCAACTCCACATTGAAATATAACAAGATGATAAATTTAACTAAAGATACAAGAAAGGCCATTGTTGTATATAATATAAAAAAATAGTCATCCAGCTAAGGTCAGCCCCATCCTATAAATTTTTGTCAGACTGCTACGATTACAATGTAACAGACCGCACCTGGACTGTTTTCTTCTTCAAAAAGCACACCGAAGATATAATACCAGCAACACAGGCTACAGCTATCACGGAGACAACCACACCTATTATGACGCCAATATTTTGACTTGGCGCAATGGTATCAGACTCCGCTGAGAACCCCTCCATGGCATCTGCAGTGCCATTGGAAGTGGAGGGAGGAAGGAATGTGGTAGTTGAGACATTGTCGTTCTCAAGAGTTAAAACCAATTGCTGCGGCTCAGTTGTCTGCTGTGTGGTGGTTGGATCTGGACATGCTTGCTTGTAATAATTGTACCAATCCCTGCTTTCTGGTGACGCCATGACACTGTTGTTTGTAACTGGAAGAAAGAAACCAACATTTTAAGGAACACGATTGTATAAATATATCCGCAAATGAATGAGTAAACGGGCTGAACAGTAAATGAGATATAGTGTGTTCTGGTTTTAAGATGTTATCAACAAGGCCATTTAATAAATAATTAAAATAGAAATAATAAATAGATAAAATACATGACCACATATTGAAGCAATGGAATAAATAATTGATCACCTGAACAAAGTGCTTTCGAGAAGTTTTCTGCAAATCCCCGAAGTCCATCAAACGATTCCACATGGAAGGCATGGGTATCCTCCGGTGGACTAACAATAGCTTGTAACTCTAAGAGTAGGCTTGTCTTGTTTCCAACACCTATCGCATAAACCACGATATCTTGCTGCTTTGTAGCCAGTGCTCTCTGCACTGTGAAACAGAACTTCTCGCTGAAACCTGTTGTCATAATGATGGCAATTTTACTTGTATTCGCTCTTCCTCCCAGTCGATGCATAGGGTTTAAGAAAGCCCTCTGTGCAATGTATAGGGCTTTGTATGTCTGACTTCCGAAAAAGGATTGCTCATGCACGCTTACAGTGCTTATACTGGACAATATATTGGAATATGACTGTTCGTGGTTGAATGTTAAAATAGCATTTAACGTCGGAATAAAAGAAATAATCGCAAGGCTGACATTATCTGGTCCAATCACCAATGAGTCATTGACCAGCGAAGCCATGAAGTGTTGAATCTTCGGCGCATCATCTGGGGATCCAGTAATGTCAAGTAGGAAGGCTATGTCCGATTCTTTGCAAACTGAAAATGGTATACATGTATGATTTTAACGTTTTTCGTTTACTGATACAAGTTTAATTATTTTCAGTTTGAAAATCAACACCACGAGGATTTTCACTTTTCGCAACCTCTATTTTCACTTGATTCTCACTACATGCGTAGTTATGACTTGGGTCACTAAGATACTGTAGATTACACGCTTTTCCGTCTATAGGCCTATAGGTTTAAATATTTTTGAATTAATTTGGTGCTCGTAAATAGGGAGACAATTAATACCAAGACGTACCAATTCAATAACCAGAGTTTACCTTTAGCTGCATTGTCAGAAGCCAACGCCCCTGCAAAAAAAAAAAAATAAAAATAAATAAAAATGGGATGCGCCATTTCTTCATTCTTGTCAAATGGTATGTAAGCTAAATTCAACATAAATTTAACCATAGTAATTATTCAAAATGGGCCTTTAAATGACAAGCAGCCTGAAATCTAAAGGAAAACTGAATAACCCACCGCAGCGGGCTATTGAGCCTGATATGAAAACATGTTTTTAAAAAGATATGGAAGAAACTGATATAGCAAAAAAAAAAAAAAAATAAATAAATAAATAAATAAAAATAATAATAATAATAAGATTTAAAAAAATAATAATAACAATAATGGTAAAAAACAGTTATTTGGGGAAGTAGCAAATCGAGCAGCCTTGAAATTGTGTTTATACCTAGTCGACAGTATTGTTTAAACTTCCAGCGAAGCTGGTCAGTTACGGGAGGTTGGTAAGAGATACCTTCCATGCAGATTCTTTTAACTCACCTTTTTCATGCCTAATGCATGACAGATGTAATGCAAGAAAAAGTAATCCTCGCATCCTTCCTGGTATGTCCTCTCAGTGAAGTTCACTTTTCCTATCTGGTCTCAGTTGGGGTCTACAATTTTTTCAGTGGTATTTAAACCCAATTCAAATTATAAATCAAAATGATCAAATCCCGACTCTCATTATATGGAGATACCTTGCTCACCAACACCACTCGAGTGATAACTTTTTAAAATTGACCAAGTAAGCCGTGAACGCTCTGTCTTGTTTAATGGTGTGACTTTAAAGGAACGCTGTATTGATTTCCAATACAATATTCTTGATAAGGGTGAGCTGCTGTCAGTAGGTTTGGCATTAAAGGATTACCAGGCATCACAAAATGACGAGGGCTGGGGTCACATTAAACTGCTAGAATCAAGTGGGGCTTAATGCAGATGTAAGTCCAGTGACAATGATGGTATTTTTAATTAGAGTTGAAAACCGAAACGATAAATGTTTTAATTAAATTATAGCGATACTAAAGTCTGAAGCACGGCCAATACGTTAGGTATATTGCGACAGTACGCAACAAAATTTCAACAGAATAGACGATCTGTGCAAGGATTCATCTAGTGCTCTAATATCTTTATTTGCGACTCTCACAATAAGTTAATTTGTTTCACAAAATCAATTTCATTTTTTGAAATGGAGCCTACGATGCCTAAATTAAGTAACAAGTGATTCTAAAATGTGAGACGCAAACATTACTTAACAGCTCTTTGGTGAAAAGAAAATGAAGCTTTTACACACTTTTATTTTAGTATGTGTATTGTGTATTCCAATTCATTTCACAAAGACATTCAACTTATTGACATTTGACAAGCATTGGGATACCAGTAGACAGCAGATTTAAGTGAAAACCCCATGCTAATGTAAAGGAAATGAGATTTACATTTAGGTCAGGCCTACTGAAAGCCATTAATACACAATTTATATAAAACAATTAATGGCAATAAATTGAGACTGTTGAGAACAACGATATAATACTATTCTGAAGACAAATAGATACCCGGAAATTAAATGTTTCTTTTCCCCCTGACTTGGAGGGTCAAAATAATGACAAGTAAAGATAATTGATCATCAACCCGATTAGAAAATCGAATTGTTGTACTACGCGAGAAAAAAGTCTTGAAAAATGTTTTCTAGCTAACGATGGTAAAAGGTGCAGCTGCAGAGCCTAAGTGTAACATCCATGGTATAGGTTTCCATGCATCCCTCCCTCCCCGTTCACCAATTCTTAAGACACCAATACACCCCTTGAGCATTGTTGAAGTAAACTGTCTAGCGAGGGAATACACATTGTCTGTCATCTAAGAAGTGAATGATGTTCTCCATAGTCTTACTTGTCCACTCACGTTGTTAACGGTGAATGCGTGGTCTCAACAGAAAATACAAAATGTTCAGTTCTGCAGTGGTTCTTGCAGCCCCTGTTACTTTCCTTTGTCTGTTTACCAGGTGGTAACTTATGAGCATCACCACTGCCCTCCGTTCTTCTGCAAACCCTACACACAGCCTAAATAGACACACCATATCAGGCAGCTATCTGGGGGACATTTATAAATATCCTCCTCTCCGACAGAAACAATTCCGTTTCTTTTCTTCATTTGTGAGCTTCCGTACCTTCATCATGGTAGGAGCTTGACAACCAAAAGGGCCTTACAGGTACATCTTCGGCGACGCCCTTTACAGTACACATGAATGGAAAGTGATGCAAAATTGGACAAAAAACACCAGCATTATTACTTAAAAATTCATCATCTCTATAACTAAATTTACAAGCTGAAGTTTTTTAGACCCACTATTATATACCCGACTGCTGTTCGCTTTGACACATTGTTTATAGAACAACTAGAACACAACTGAAACATAAACATCTCAAAAGAAGAAGACAAAAAAAAAAAAAAAAA